CCTTACAGTGCTACAAGGCACTGTAAAATACAAGTTATTGCTTTCAAATGGTTCACTATGTTATTCCAGAATCACAGAGAAAGTGAATGGGGTTGTTAATGTCTGAAAAAGCTGGTAATTCACAAGATATCAAGATAAATGATGAATCTAAAAAACGCATTCTACACATATAATAATAATAATATATAACACATATATCCAAGCTTTACATGGAAGAAAATAATAATCCTTCCATTTGATATTGTGCCTTTCATATCTGGAGGATGTCTCAGTGTGCTTCATAGCATATACTGTAAAGTGTTTTGACTATATTTTGGAGACAAACAATACAGCCAATTTGCGTTCAGTAAAGGCTAGGCTAAGCAATGAAGTTTTAGCCTAGTCTTAGCCTGTAAGTTAAATAATATTTAAGATTGTGCAGAATTGTGAAAAATATCTTAAATTCAGTTCTAACTGGGAAGCCAGTTTGTTTTAACATTTGCTGTAAACAGGCTTCTGAATTCACAAGATCACATTTAACTTGTCTTTCCAGAATACCCACCCAAATTGATCAAAAGGCAGGCAGAAGTGCAGGCAGATCGTGAACATGTTTAATGAGGGAGACATGGACCATACATCTGCACAGACGTTGTGCATTGGTCATGAAGCCCCGAAGTGGAGACATAAAACTAGTGTGCCATTTCAAGACCTTGGTGATTTGACCATGTAATAACTGACCTCACATTTTGTTGCTCTTTCCGTTCACATCTATATTCACAACATGCACTTCAGTGGCATATAGACCCTGCCTGAAGCAAAGACATTTTATTATGCAGGATGAATAATCTGTACTATTGATGTATCTTCAAAGGTTTCGCAGTGAAGAAAGGTTAAGTGCAACAGCGATATTATGCAACTGTTCTAAGATCACCATATATCAGTATAGACACATATTTAAATCTGAGACCTCATTTCATGATTATTATTTTTTTAAAAACATTCATTTTCATCCCTTTTGATAATAATAATCCTTGCATTTGATATAGCACTTCATCACGTCTTTGAGACATCTCAAGGCACGCCACAGAATTTACTGTAAACAACAACAACAAAATTACATTTGTATAGTGCCTTTCATGTCGGGTGGACATCCCAGGGTGCTGGAGAGACAGAGTTACGGACCAGAACTGAGGGTCGGGGTGGGGGAGGGGGGAGGACAGGGAGTGAAGCAGGGAGATCGAAAGCACAGTCGAAGAGGAGGGTCTTGAGGTGGGTCTTGAAGGTGCCGAGGGAGGGGGCAAGACGGAGGGATTGCGGGATGGAGTTCCAGAGGGTGGGTGCAGACTGGTGGAAGGCCTGCCCGCCAATAGTGGGGCGAGCAAGACCAGGGATGTGAAGCAGGCTGGAGCCCACTGAGCGGAGGGAGCGAACTGGGTGGTAGGGGGTTAGGAGGTCGCAGAGGTAGGGGGGAATAAGGCCAGGGAGGGCTTTGAAGGTGAGGACTAGGATCTTGAATTGTATCCTCTGTTTGATGGGAAGCCAGTGGAGTTGGGCAAGGATGGGGGTGATAGGGTCGTGGAGCCTTGTGCGGGAGAGGACACGGGCTGCAGAGTTCTGGATGATCTGCAGCCTGTGGAGGGAAGAGTTGGGGAGGCCGACAAGCAGTGATTTTGTGTAGTTGAGCCTCGATGTAATGAGGGTTTTGGCAGCCTGCAGTGTGAGACAGTGTTGGAGCCAGGCGACGTTGCGGAGGTGGGGGAAGGCAGAGTTGGTCATGGTGCAGATGTGGGATAGAAAGGATAGTTGAGGGTCAAACAAGACCCCAAGGTTCTGGACTGGCTTAGCAAGGTGGAGTGTGCAACCATGGATGGTGATGCTGTCAGCGTCTGAGGTGAGGAGGCGCTGACGGGAGCCAATCAGGAGACCCTCAGTCTTGTTGATGTTCAACTGAATAAAGTTAGCTCTCATCCAGGACTTGATGTCTGTCAGACATTCTGTCAGGACAGCAGTGGTCCTGGAGTCAAGGGTGGAGGCAGAGAGGTAGAGTTGGGTGTCATCCACATACATGTGGAAGTTGACCCCATGTCTGCGGATGATATCACTAAGAGGGAGCATATAGATATTGAAGAGGAGGGAACCAAGGACAGAGCCCTGAGGAACACCACACGAGACGGTCCGGGGGCTAGAGGAGAAGCCGTTTGAGGAGATGAAGTGCAGGTGGTGTGAGAGGTACGATCTGAACCAATCAAGGACAGCGTCGTGGATATTGAGGTGAAAGGAGAGGCGGTGGTTGAGGATAGAGTGGTCGATGGCGTTTAAAGCAGCAGAGAGGTCAAGGAGGATGAGGAGAAGGAGGGAGCCCTGGTCACTGATGGACAGAATGTCATTTTGTTACTTCGACCAAGGCGGTGTCTGTGCTGTGGATGGCATGGAAACCCAATTGGAGGGGTTCAAGAAGGGAGTGGCGGGAGGGGGAGGAGCGAAGCTGAGAAGCAACAACTCATTCCAGTACCTTGGAGAGGAAAGGGAGGTTGGAGATGGGGTGGTAGTTAGGGAGCAGAGAAGGGTCCAAGGGAGGGCATTTTTAAGGATAGGAGTGATGACAGTGTTTTTTAAAGGGGTGGGAACAGTACCAGAGGACAGGGAAAGTGAATTAACTGTATATTTTGTGGGCGAAAATCGGCAGCCAATTGTGCATAACAGTGTCCCACAAACAGTCGTGGATTGAGTGATCAAATTATTATTATTGTTATCTTTTTTAAGGGATTATTACCCCCAGAAAAATGATCTGCCATTCGACTAACAATATTTACTCAAAGATATATACTCACATTTTATTATACCAGGGTACAATTGCTTCCATTGGAGTTGGGCACCCCACGTGTGAACCTTGTAAGTGAGTGTCAGTTTAAATGAAGGAAGTATCATAGCCAATATCAATCACATCCTCATTCACATGCAAGCATCTTCCAGCAGAGATCCTTGGTTGTGTTTTTATTCTTCCCTTCCCTAACTCAGGAGTGCTGTTGAATTTGCAGTATCCCATCTACTGCCTCAGGAGAAATGAGGTAATAATAATCCTTGCATTTGACATAAAACATTTCACATTGGGAGGACATCTCTAAGTGCTTTACAGGATACACTGTAAAGTGTAGTGACTGTGTATTTTGTAAACGAACGCAGCAGCTAACTTGTGTACAGCAATATCCCATAAACAGCCAGGAAGTGAATAACCAATTTTTATTTGTGGGTTTGTGATCAGGCCATTGGGAGAAACTCTCTTATTTTTTCAAATAATGTCATGGAATCTTTTAACGTCCATCTGGACAGGCAGACGGAACCTCAATTTAATATCTCATCCAAAAGACGGAGCACACTAGACCGTCGGGGCAGTGTTGGAATCACTTGTTACTTCATTTAACTTGATGACCTCCTAAACCCCTACCAATCTGTCCCCTCCTCCGCTCAGTGGGGTCCAGCCTGCTTCACATCCCCGCCTTGCCCGCCCCTCCATTGGCGTGCGTGCCTTCAGTCTCTCTGCCCCCACCTTCTGGAACTTCATCCCACGGTCCCTCCATCTCGCCCCCTCCCTCACCACCTTCAAGATCCGTCTCAAGACCCTCCTCTTTGACCATGCCTTTGGTCACACTCCTACCCCTACCCTCCCTGCAATATGAATGCAAGTTGTTGTTGCCCTATCCTGTCATTATTATCATTGCTTAATGCTTCATATACATGATGGAAGAGGTTTAATGCATTGAATGGCCTTCTCCTATTCCTATTAGGTTAAGTGCTTCAAAACATTCATTCTATAAAGGTTCTGCAAAAGTGCAAGTTGTTTCCATTCTCAGATGTGTGAAGTCTTTTTTTAATCAAGCTATCTTTGCCCCTCTGCCATTTTTATGACCTACAATATCTACATGTGCATTTGCTGTCGAATATTCGTCAGAAACGTTGATCTGAGGCTGGTGAAATCTGTCAAAAGATATCCCTGCTGCGATTTGATAATTGTAAAATTGGGTTGCCTTTAGCAAATAGTGTCATGCACAGCACTGTGCACAAACCTAACCTTTTCCCCTCTGTCAGAGCAGAACAATGTTGGTGTAGAAACACTCAGTATTATCCAGTACTTGTTCCCTGTGAACTCAGACAGCAGGTTTTTTACAAATAAACCTTTTCCCATCTTCAAATTGCATCTGAAGACCTTCCTCTCTCTCCAGCTCAGCTTTAAGCACTGCCACTGTTAAACAGTGCAACCCGAACGAAGGGCCCTATATGAATGCAAGTTGTTGTTGATCGTATTTCCCCATTATTTTGCTTATTTTTACATAAGAATTTTTAGGATATGCATAGAAAGGGCAGAAGGCTTGGCAAACCCAACGACTTGTGCTAGGCGTCATCCTCTGCTAACTTAACATCTGACTGTATGCCTCAAACCTTCTCTCTTTCTAGATCCATCTCTTGAACTAATGTGTACTCTTATGGATATTTTAAAATAAATCTGTGTAACATTTTCCTTCTTGTATCCGAAATGTGGTTGGTAATACAGGATAATAAAGGGATAGTTATCAATTTTACTCTGTATACAGCGAAGCACAGAATTAGCTGCACTTTGATATATTAGACTGGGTGTTATGTGACCATTGAGACCTTAATCACAGAAGATTGGAGCAATGCAGTACTTTCCGAAATCTAAAACCTAAACCTTCAGTTTGGCAAGAACATTGAATTTCATCATGACTAGATCAAACAAAATTAATACTGCAATTTACCATATTTTAGTGGTGTAAATTTGTGTCTTAATTACTGGTGCAGACATGATGATTGTGACAACTGTCGTTCTGTCAGTCGCCTGACTTTATATAATCCCAGCTCCACGGAATAAAGCTAACAGTTAAAATAAGACTAGGCTGTGGGGGGTATTCATTTGAAGTGGTTTCTGGGGCCTGTAAAGCATTCGGTTGTCAGGGATGTTATAGTGATACAGAGAAAATTGAACCTGAATTATTTTCCACTGACAGCTGCAGAACCAAGAGATGCTCAAAGGGATGTTGAAGAAAGCAGAATCTGAAATCAATAGCAGAGTTAGTGAAGCATTGAAGAGAATGGAAGATCCGCTGCAGCGACAGCGCATGCTGGTGGAGGAGGAGAGACAGAAATACCTCACTGAAGAGGAGAAAATAATACAGCAACTCTGGTACGTCAGCTGATGTCAAAACCCACAGGGACTAAGAATCTATGATAATTATCGTTTTGTTTAAAAAAAAGTATTAGACCAATATCATTAACGTCGCTAATTATTAATACGATCAAGGTTTAATTTTGCATCAGCTTCCTCCTACTTTATGGTTTTTGCTTTATTTACCCTGCATCTTTTCAGGTTCCCCAGTTTCCTCTTGTAGTTGTTTACTTTGAATTTTATTTGGCTTCTTTAAAACAGTGTGTGTGTGTGTGTGTGTGAGAGAGAGAGAGAGAGAGAGAGAGTAAAAAAGAAAAGACGCTGTAGTTATGGAACTCAAGCTGCTTTTCCTTCTGGCTCTCTGCCCACCCAATCTGTGCTGCAAAGAAAAATGTTGGATTTGATCCCTGGTCAGAGCTTGGTTAGCTATCTCAGCCTGGCTGGTGCTTGGTGCAAAACAATTTGCCTCAGTGTCCTTTGGCGAGGGAAGGGCAAAAAAAAAATCCAGCTTTCCCATTTCTGATAGTACATGGTGTGTGCCTATGTGTGAACATTGAGTGAGGGTGGAATTGGCATTGATTTGTTATGGTTATCAATCAATGATGTGCTGATAGTCACTGCACAGGCTCACACAAGGAGAGCACCTATTTGGGAAAAGCACCAATGGTTCCCACAGAGTTGTGCTTTCAAGAAAGGAAGCGGGAAAATTGATAACACAGGAAGGAAATGGAAAATGGCAAAATCATTCTGCTGTCCCTCAACAAGACTGTGACAATTGCAACTTCACTGCAGTGTCAGCAGAGGTGAATTTAAACTCAAAAAGCCACTTTATTGACAAGATGTTTGAAGATAATCTATAATTTGTAGAGAACTGCTTGATTTATTGAAAACTGCTGATTTAATATCAAACGTTTGATGATTTGTGCTTCCTTTCCATCTACAAGATGAGCACAGATTGGTTAAAAAAGCTAAATACTATGAACATTTGGAAGTTTTAATTACTTAGTAAGATTCCACTAAAGGTCGCTTTACACTAAGTCATAGATCACTTCTAATATATAAACTTAATAATATAAATTTAGAGTAATGTATTGCCTGTGACTGGTGAGAACTGAATTTGAAGCCCCAAATTGTTTAAGCTTTAAGACCTCCGTCTTAAACATTTAAAATCGTGCAAATTTCTTGCTTTTAATCTTTATTTGGAAGCTGTTTTTGAACTGCGGAAAATCAACCTCTAAATCAACACAGAAATTAAGGACTTTTGAATTTTTAGACAAAATAACTAAGACTTGGTGGAATTTTAGGTCTCAGTTCTGTATACTCCAGTCATAAGAACACAAAATAAGAAATGCTAGACGAAAAAAGACTAAGGTCCATTTAGTTCGCTTTCCACTTTCCTGGTGGTCCATGCACATATGTCCCAGTCAGTTAGTTATTACCAAGGCCAATAGAAAATTGCGGAAATATTTGCCACAAATTGCGGAGAAATTAAGCAGGACCGTGGGGGGAGGTTGCAGGGGTTAATATAAAAAATTGCAGAGTGGTGCTATTGAGGTACATATTTACTGCCAACCTACATTTCTTCACTTTATTGATTAAAAACTAACACAAAGAAATAATACATATTAGATTGTTGCAAAGAAAATTATTAATGGATTCTTCAACAAAAACTGGGGTGGGGGCGACACCAGGGCAGGCCCTAAGCAGGCCCGCCAAGCTCGCCAGTGTCCTGACTGCGGGGCTACAGGAGGTCACCATCTCCTGCCTCTCAGGGCTCATCACATACAGACCCAGAGAGACACACACACACTCACAGACAGACAGAGAGACACAGAGACGCTTGAGAGACACACACGCACTCATAGACAGACAGAGAGACACAGAGACCCAGAGAGACACACACGCACTCATAGACAGGCAGAGAGACACGGACACACTTCACATAAACGCAGAGAGAAAGAGAGAGATACAGATACACACACACAGACACACACATACAGACAGAGAAGAGAGAGACATGAAGAATCTCGACAGCGAGATCTCGGGGTGAGTGAAGCCCATTTCCCGCTCGCGCTGCACCACGCATTTACGTCCGGAGCCGGACTGAAAAATTACTGAAAATGCGGATATAGAGGTACATTTTGAGACAAGCTTCGACTAAGAGGAGGGAACGAGTTGGAGGGAGTTCTGGAGAGTGGGGGCAGAATAGCTGAAAGTTGGGAGGGATAGGGTGGGGGACAGGAAGCAGGCCGGTGTTGGCTGAGTGATGCGAGCTGCTAGGTCAGTAGGGCTGAACTGAATTTGGGGCAGATCAATACTGTAAAAGCCTATTTCTCGGCTGTATTGGAGTGGGTGCCTGTGACCAGGAGGGTTAATGGCAGCCCAGCATTTAGATTGGCCAGGAAAAGCACCTTAATGGAAGTCATCATGTTACCTCCAGTGCTAAAATTGCTTGCTATCCACACATGAACCCAATCCACTCTCTGCCTGCAAATGTGCATCAATGCAGGAAATGTTGTGGGCAATCACACTGCGGAAAACAGCAGATTGTACCGGGGTTGCGCTGTTTGAACTCTGAGCTACATGGCTGTGTCCAGTAGATAACTGAGGTGTTACTAGCAGGGATACCATTTCTGGCCACAGGTAGCATTACTTATAGCAGTCACACGTTTGCCTCTCTCACTTACGATACTTCAAATATATCCATCTACTCTGCTCTGCCAACTCGCTCTGCTCCATGTCGAATGCCCCTCTATCCCACCATTTGATGGGCAAGCCTTCTGCACCTTGCCCCCTTACTCTCTGGAACTCTTTTCCTAAATCCCTCCACCTTAGATCCTCCCTCAAGCTCTTAAAACCCTCCTAATTGTTCTCTTTGACTGTGCCTATCTTCAATTCCATCTGTCCCCTGATCTCCATCCTCCCCCCACCATCCCACTTAGGTTTGACATCCATCTCTGTGAAATTATTTTTGGGCAAGCTGAACTTTTTCCTCTTGAGTGCACACATCTGACCATAGAAACTTACAGTCATTTGGCCCATCTGTGGATATTTGTGCTCTTTGAAACAGTCTATGTTTTATCAACCTGTTATCAAAGAAATGAAAATGCCCTAAACAGATGATGTGATGATATTGTACCATTGAGGAATATTTTGACAGAACACAACCAACAAATGGGGACTGGAAGCAACAAGGAAAACAATTCTGAAGTTCTTCTAAATTTCCTATTTTTTGCATTTTGGTTATAGCGTCTATCACATCGTCAAGACGTCTCAAAGCGTTTCATAGGACACACTGTAAATTGCGTTGACTGCATTTTGCGGCTGAAACCTATTAATAATCAAATAAATATAATATTTCAACTCCTACTCAATGAACTGGTTACAAATGTCACCAGGAGTTTGATTACTGACTACAATAACCCTGCAGTGCTCATTCCCCATCGTTCCCGATGTCTCGATGTTCAGGTCCATTTCCATAAGCAAAGTCAGTTCAAGTTGCCCTTTATTTGTGAGTCTAAGCAGTGGTTGTTGGCAGACTATTCAACCGTGGGCATTACAGCCAGCCCCACCCTGTCCTCACTCAATTTCTACACACGAGCACTTTGCAGCAAGGGTCACTGGCTAGCAATCGGGAACAAGGATCCAGTTGATTATTCCATGAATTACGACTCATTGTAAAGCATGTAAATCCAGCTGCAGTGATCAACAAAATAATAATAATAATAATCCTTGCATTTGATATAGTGCTTTTCACGTCGGGAGGACGTCCCAAAGCGCTTCACAGAACACACTGTAAAGTGAATTGACTGTATATTTGCGGGCGAACGCGGAAGCCAATTGTGCACAGCAATGTCCCACAAACAGTCGTAGATTGAAAATGACCAATTTATTATTGTTTTTGGTTTTGGAGGGATTATTATTAGGCTCTGTGTGGAGTAAGGAAACTTGCCAAAGGTTTCGCCCTGACCTGCCTGGAATTGAACTCAGGTCTCTCACTTGCAAAGCGAGTGCTCTAACCACTGAGCTACAGGACTCCATCGCATGGTCAACATTTTGACACACTTTCTTCAGCAATTTGGTTTGCGCATGTTGTATTGAAAACATTGATGCTTTAGCGCTTACAAACACACACATATATAAGGTATGGCTAGCAGCCAGAAGCTGGAGAAGCTGAAGGAATTGTGCTGGTTATTGAGTGTGACTGTTGATTGTACAGAATACGATCTGGTAAATTGCTGTTTAACAAGTTAATAGTTTACAGTATTCTTTCCTGTCGTTTATTTGCACTTGTAATTACTTTATTATTTTCTTCTATGATAAGTACTGATTGCACTGGGGAGTTGAGTGTTTCCACTTCTAAGTACCATTATCAGCATCAAACACAGCAAGCTCTGCAGAGAGAAGCTTCCTCAACTCTTCCCCAACAAAATTCCTCAATGCCAACCGCAGACGAGCACTTCTTACTGCATTATTTCCTGTGCTAGTGGTGCCACTAATACTTAATAATAACAATCCTTGTATTTGAAGTAGCGTCTTATCAATTCATCGAGATGCTTCAAAACGTTTCACAGGATTTTACTGTGAAGTGTGTTGGCTGTATTTGTAAGTGACCTGGCAGCCAATTAGTGCACAAAAATATACATACAGTCAATTCACTTTACAGTATATTCTGTGAAATGCTTTGAGACGTCTTGAAGACGTAAGGATTACGTAATGTAAGGATTATTATTATTAGAAAATGTCCACGACTAGCCATGAAGTCAGTGATGAATTTTATCTGATGGTTTGTTGGCCAGCACACTCTGAGAAACTCCCTTCTCTTTTTGAGTAGTGTCATGGGATCTTTAATGTCCATCTGAATTGGCAATAGGATCTTGTTTTTTTACCTTTCATCCACAGGACGGCACGTCCAACAATACAGCACACCTCCTAACATACATTGGAGTGTCAATTTAGACTATATGAGTTTGAAGTGTTGACATGCGACTTGAACCCACAATTTTCTGACTTAGAGG